CAGGCCCGGAGGCGGGAGCCACCGGGCAGGGGGCGGGGGTGAGCCCCGACGGCCAGCCCGTCAGCTTTCGGCTCAGACGGGCGGGAGCCACGGCCCCGCTCGCTGCCCATTGTCTGTGCCCCTGACCGGTGCGCCCTGGTGCCACAGTGCAGACCGGCGGGGCAGCCTCCTATCGTCACTTCAGCCAGCGCCACAACTATAAGAGGCGGTGCCGCCCGCCGCGGCTGCCTCAGCCCACCAGCTGGGACCGCGAGCCATGCTGCCCGCCGCCCGCCCCCAGGGCTGTTAGAGCCAGACTGCGAACTCTCACCACTGCCGCCACCGCCGCATCCCGTCCCACCGTCGCGGGCAGCAGTCAAAGCCGCCCCAACTGCAACACAGAGCGGGCAAGGCCAGGCAGGCCATGGGGCACTGGGCGCTGCTGCCCGGCTGGGTTTCTGCTACGCTGTTGCTGGCGCTGGCCGCTCTGCCTGCAGCTCTGGCCGCCAACAGCAGTGGCCGATGGTGGTAAGTGAGCTAGTGCGGGGTCGCCACTTGTCTCGGGGCGCAGAGCCAGGGGCCAGCCCTATCCAGCTCCCACGCTCTGGGATCCGTCGGTCCTCAGACAGGCTCGCTCCAGAGCTCGGATTTCCCTCCGAAACACCGAGGGGCGCTCTGGAGCGGAGTTGCTCCAGAGAATCCACCTCTGCCGAAGTGGGGTGAATGGTCCCGCCGCTGCAGCCCACTCCCATCTAGAACCGCCCTTCTTCCTTGAGCCCCAAACCCAGCCTCAGGGTGGTAGCCACACCACAGGTTTCCCTGCTGCAGGAAGCGAAGGGCAGGGGCGCTTAGAAAGGAGACAAGAGGAGGGTGGGACTCCTAAGCATTTCACGCCTTGGGTGGGCATGGACTGCAGGCCGGGATTTCTTCCCCAGGCTGCCTGGAAGCATACTCTGAGAGGGAAGGTGGACATGTGTTCTCTGGGTTCCCCATACTTCCCCTGTCCAGTCCCTGGACCTAGGGCCCCTAGCACCTCTAGGACTCCTGGCCACACAAAAGTCTAGACAACCAGTCCTTTCAATCTAGTGAGCCCAGGAGAGCGGGGTCATTGCCTTGTTATTGATCTCCAGCTGCTCCTTGCAGGCAAAAAGCTCCAGAAAGAGCAGGGTGGGCACAACCTTTTTGGTCAGGGTAAAGGTCCCACTTCCAGAGCCTGAGCTATCACGCCTCTCACCAGGGGCATCGTGAACGTAGCCTCCTCCACGAACCTACTGACAGACTCCAAGAGTCTGCAACTGGTGCTGGAGCCCAGTCTGCAGCTGCTGAGCCGCAAACAGCGGCGGCTGATCCGCCAGAACCCAGGGATCCTGCACAGTGTGAGCGGGGGGCTGCAGAGCGCTGTGCGCGAGTGCAAGTGGCAGTTCCGGAACCGCCGCTGGAACTGCCCCACGGCTTCGGGGCCCCACCTCTTCGGCAAGATCGTGAACCGAGGTGGGTACCCAGGAAGGCGACGCCGCCCGGACAAGGGGAACTCGGGGTCACCCCCAGGGCATGGCTGGGTGAATGCGGGGAAGATGTCAGGGGCTCCCGCAGGGTCACATGTTCAACTCGCCAAGAGCTTTATGGCCAGCACTAGCTCTGGACCAAACTCCCTCTACCAGACGCTTTCAAGCCGTGCACCTCGGCACGAAGCTTAACTTTTCTGAGCCACTGCCTCAGAGAAGGGGAGTTCTGAATTGTGGGCGCTGGTGGGCCACCGCTTTCCCCCAGCCCATCTCGAAGGCTGGGGTCTGGGAACCTGCTCTCTGCAGGGGTGCGTCTTGCCTCCAGCCCAGCAAGGCTTGCTTCGCTGACACGGGCCGCGTTTGGGCTGCTGAGAGGTCTTGGAGGTGCAAAGTTCTCCTGCTCCCCTCTCTTCAGTTTTTCTTTCTGGGGTTGCCCCACTTCCACTCAGGATCTAAAATGCGCGCTGGCCCTCGGTAACGCGTGATTACAAGTGTGGCCGTGGTTGCGTGCCCACGCAGGTGCTTTCCCTATGAGACCAGCTTCCCAACACAGCCCACCGCCTGGCCTTCAGGACTCCGAGGGCGGGGCGGGGCGGAGGACTCAAGGGTCCCAAGCCGTCCACGGAGGGTGCTGGCCGCACACCGCATGCCCACTCGCTGATCCTTGATTCCTTCCCCCGCAGGCTGTCGGGAAACAGCATTTATCTTCGCCATCACCTCCGCCGGGGTTACCCACTCGGTGGCGCGCTCCTGCTCCGAGGGCTCCATCGAGTCCTGCACGTGCGACTATCGGCGGCGAGGCCCTGGGGGCCCCGATTGGCACTGGGGGGGCTGCAGCGACAACATCGACTTCGGCCGTCTCTTCGGCCGGGAGTTTGTGGATTCCGGGGAGAAGGGGCGGGACCTGCGCTTCCTCATGAACCTTCACAACAACGAGGCGGGCCGAACGGTGAGCGGGCTGGCGGGGCGCCGCACCCGCAGAGTGGCAGGGATCCCGCGCAGGGGCCAGCCTCGTGCTTGGGAAGTAACAGCTGGGGTAAGGCCAGGGCGTAGGGCAAGCAACGAGGAGAGAGAACCCTGAGGGAGCGGGTGGCTTGGAAGGAAGCCAGAGAATGGAAGGGGCAAAGGGACGCTTGGGGCTCAGGACAGGTAGAACCGTAGAGGTCAGAAGTCATGTAACCCATAGAACGTATTGCCTACAGCCCCTCCATTGCACAGATTCAAAAAATAAGGCTGAGAGGCCGAGATAGACTCTCTGGCGCGCTGTCCAAATCTCCGCGGGACATTTCCTGCCTCCCTTCCCCTGGGCACCGCGGGCCTGCGCTGGGCTGAGGTCCCGGCGGCGCCCGGGAGGGGGCGGTATCCGGGACGGCGGCCCCGGCAGTGCCCCGGGACAGCCTTCTTCCTCCCTCTCCCTCCAGACCGTATTCTCCGAGATGCGCCAGGAGTGCAAGTGCCACGGGATGTCGGGCTCGTGCACGGTGCGCACGTGCTGGATGCGGCTGCCCACGCTGCGCGCCGTGGGCGACGTGCTGCGCGACCGCTTCGACGGCGCCTCGCGCGTCCTCTACGGCAACCGCGGCAGCAACCGCGCCTCGCGGGCCGAGCTGCTCCGCCTCGAGCCGGAAGACCCCGCGCACAAGCCGCCCTCGCCCCACGACCTGGTCTACTTCGAGAAGTCACCTAACTTCTGCACCTACAGCGGACGCCTGGGTACAGCGGGCACGACCGGGCGCGCCTGCAACAGCTCGTCGCCCGCGCTGGACGGCTGCGAGCTGCTCTGCTGCGGCCGGGGCCACCGCACACGCACGCAGCGCGTCACCGAGCGCTGCAACTGCACCTTCCACTGGTGCTGCCACGTCAGCTGCCGCAACTGCACGCACACGCGCGTCCTGCACGAGTGTCTGTGAGACGCTGCGCGGACTCGCCCCCAGGAAAATTCCCCTCAA